GCCAGACACTAAACGGTCGAGTTCGGGGATCCTGAGGCGGGGCGCGCAAGCCGAGATTTCCGGGAACTCCAAACGAACACAAACATGGATAATCACCGAGTGTTCAAACGGTGACGTTCAAGTCTTGAGGACGGTCAAAAATGGGGTGTCTACACTGACTTTTTGTCCATTTTAACTTGATTAAAAAAATTATGTTTAGGATAAATTTTGACTTTTTTATAATTGATTTAATAGTTGTAAGAGAAAAAGTAAAATCATTATAATTTAAATATGACATTTTGTCTTATGAACTAAATTAACATGTTTTGTCTTTATTGACTAATCTAACCAAAATGGCTCAAGCCAAAGTCTAAGACCAATATTTTGTTAATTTTAAAATTAATATATATATATATATATAAATATTTAATTTTCATATTAGAAAAATTAATTACACCAATACTTATTCAACTATTTAGGAATATTAACTTATTCCTTAAGTTAATTTTTCTTGATCTAGACCCACAAAAACAATTCTTATTATTTGAAGTATATGCCACTATTAAAATTAATCTATTAAATAAATAAATAAAACATATTTATATATAAAATAATGTAAATGAACGCCCAAAACTTTAGTTTAACTATTTTAGTGTTTGAGGACTAATCTATTGATAAAAACTTGAGTCTGGACTTGATTTTATTTTTATTTTTTTGACTTAATTTTTTAGATTGTACAAGTTATTTGACCACATTTAATATTGAGGATGAAGTCCATTAAGATTTACCTTTAGGATAGCTTTTACACTGCATATTTTGATATCGAAATTTGATACTATGTATTGTAGCACCTTAGATTATTCAATGAGCCTCACATGACATATATAATTATTGTTTTTAAGACGTTACATCAGATACTACCAAATACGATATTACTAAATTTCATATTTTATTTTTTAAATATTTCAAAATTTCAAATGAGATGTAGCTTAGTTATGAATAAAATTTTATTTTGGATTTTCCATTTAAAAGATTTTCAAATTAGATATATAGCTAGATGTGCCAATAGTTTTATGCCAAATATATTTCTTAGTTTTGAAAAATTAAAACAAAAAAAAAATTAATGTAAAATTTGAACCCAAAAAATATATATAACTCTGCATAATAAAATTTGAAAATTAACATTAATGGGTCATGATTAGTGTACATTATATGGATTCATGTTTAATGTAGCTTAGTTATGAATAAAATTTTATTTTGGATTTTCCATTTAAAAGATTTTCAAATTAGATATATAGCTAGATGTGCCAATAGTTTTATGCCAAATATATTTCTTAGTTTTTAAAAATTAAAACAAAAAAAAAATTAATGTAAAATTTGAACCTAAAAAATATAGGGCAAATTACATATACCCCCCTTGAGGTATGGCTAAATTACAAATACCCCCCTGAGGTTTCGGAAATTACATCCCGCCCCCTGAGGTTTGTATTTTCATAACAATTTGCCCCCTGAGGTTTATATTTCATAACAAATTACCCCCTAATTTCTTATGCAAATATAGCATTCAGGGGGGAATTCGTAATTTCTCAAACCTCAGGGGGTATCTGTAATTTAGCCAAACCTCGAGGGGTGTATATGTAATTTGCCCAAAAATATATATAACTCTGCATAATAAAATTTGAAAATTAACATTAATGGGTCATGATTAGTATACATTATATGGATTCATGTTTACTATTATACCATAAATAAACTATATTTGGTGTAGTATTCTATTATTATTATTATTTAAAATTCTAATTTATTTGTCATATCAATATTATAAATGAACTATACATCAATGTTGTGAAACCCGGACCGGATCGGCCAGTCTAACCGGTTGGACCGGGTCTTGTTCCGGTCCGGTCAACCCCTTGGACTGTTGATTTTTTCTTTTTTAATTTAATTTTCTTTCTTTCTTATATATATTTATATTTTAAAATTTTGACTAAAAATTCTTACTTTAAGAGTCTCACTACAAGAATTAGCACTTTTGGCAACAAAAAAATTGGTCGCTAAAAGTCTATTTTTGGTCGGTAAAAGTTATCCGCGACCAATTTTTCTGGTCGCTACTTTGGTCGCCAATTGAGGGTCGGCAAAAGTAATTCGCGACCAAAATTTTGGTTGGTCGGCAAAAGTTGGATTTGCCGACTAAATTTTTGGTCGCTAAATATTTAATTACCGCGACTAATTCATTTTGTCGCTAAAACACTTTGGTCGCGAAAAGTAATATTTTCTCGACCAAATATCTTAGTCGCTAATTGACACATTTCGCGACCAAAAAGTTTGGTCGCCAATTATCACATTCAACGACTAAAAAGTTTGGTCGCCAATTGTGACATTCCACGACCAAAAAATTTGGTTCGCCATTTGTTACTTTTTGCGACCAAAAACTTGCGTTGCGTCGCCAAAAGTGAGTTCCACAATCCAAGAGCTGTTTTGGTCGCTGGCAATAGATGTATTTTTTGCGACTACAAAACTCTTTGGTCGGACAATTGTCATTTTTTGCAAAAAAAAATTATTTTGGATGTCGCGACTGTAATAAATTGTGTTGCCAAAGTAGATAGAGAACAATACACCTGTAATTCCTAATAATTCATTCAATCCATAATAAACCTATAATTTTAAAGCATCATTCAAATTAACTGAATCATTAACATTCGACACTACAACTATTCTAAGTTTTCATTCACAAGTCACATCCATCTAGCATAACAATTTAAAACATAACTATTTATTATTCATGCGCAGCTATCAACAAATAAAACTACTAATATTTGTCATCCATACACATCCAACCAAAAATATTTAATCCTCCCAAAAATGCTTATACTGCCAAGTAGTCTTGTACAATTTACCATGAGTTTTCTTCACCAGAAAATTGGCTTTCTAACTGAGCAAAGCTCCAAAAATTATAACTGAACCTGATCAGAAAATCCTGCCCCACGAGACATGACAATTGCCCATCTACTTCCTGCAGTAGCCATGGCAGTTACATAGAATCCTTCCCTCCATTTTTTATTTATCCACTTGAATGGAAATGACTCGCTCACTTTATAGGATTGCTGTAAATACTGGGTACCTAGGTTTTAAAGTAGTGAAAGTGAGAACAATAGTAAGTGAAACATTAGTAGAAAGGAACTAAAATAAATTATTGAAACATTAGCTTACCTAAAAACATCTGGCCGTTGATCATAATCAACATGTAGACCAGTAGAACCATCACGCCACCTGGTTGCAGCATGTCAAAATGTGTTGTTAGAATAATGAAAAACTGGCATAATTCAGTATCGTACTGTGTCTTATATTTGTACTGCAGAGAACAAATGTATATGGTAAAATTTACCCAATCCAAGGTCAACAAGGAATAGTTTTTTCTCATCAGGTGTCCCTGGCGGACCAAGCAAAAAATTCTCAGGCTTTACATCTCCATGCACATATCTGCATAAAGTTGTAGCAGTCATATACAAACCATATACTTTAGCAAGTGGAAATCGCTACAGCTAAATAATAATAATTGGATTCTAAGTTTATTTACAAACATAGAAAGGGGAAGAAAGAAAAACCTCTCCTCACATCAAGGGAAATAAAAAAGAATACAAGCAAAATTAAAAAGTAAATGGGGTAAAAAAAGTCACCCTCTGGAGTGCATCTTCTCTAATATAGAGATTGCTTCAATGGCAATGCAGGCAACCATTTCAATGGACATCCTGAAGTTGGAAAACACAACAGAAGAGGTACAGAGATGTGCCAATTAGAACAAGAAACTATGATAAAAGGTATGTTCTTCATAAATTAAATTTGAGAAGAAGCCTACGTGTGGGAGTTGTTATTCCAAACATCCCATAAACTAGGTCCAAGCATGTCCATCACCTGCAATAATTCAATTTTATTTAGTAGAACCAACGCACATCACCAAGAATAATACAATAAAATTAACGCATGAGATCTATTCCTGTGAACCTTTGTCGGAAAGAGGTACAGAGCACACGCTAACAAATTCTGGGACAATATTTCTAGTACTGGTAGATTGTAGCAAAGAGATTTTCCACTGGATGTCATTGTTGCCACAACTACATGCTTGCCAGCAAGGGAAGCCCGAAGAGTGCCTGCAGATACCAGAAGAATTAAAGTTCATTCAGAATTTTGGCTCAGAAAAGGATTGCAGTTCAAGATAACATCCAATAATTTGTGTACAAGGTGGCTAAGTGATAATACTGAGCTTAGATGTCATGGATAACTTCACATAATTATATTATTTAGAGTAAGAGAAACTTTAGGGAAGTAGGATGCAAAAATTATTAGTATTAGTTATTATTTTAGTAGATCGAAAAGTGTATCGGAGAAGCATTACAGGCACTCTTAGGATGAATGATATATTTGGACCAACTATCAGACTATCAAACTTGTGAAACATGCTATGTGCAATTGATGTATGCTAATTAAAATGAAGGAGAGAGATTTAAGATTGCATATGCGAGGAAACATGTTTTTACTATTCAAACAATGAATATCCAAGAAATATCATTTGTATGAAACGAGCACTATTAAGTTGATAATTTCACAACAGATAAGTGGCAAGAAAAGTCAAAATACATTGGAATATAGATGCTTTATCTCAATATGCTTGTGTCATTCTTGCGCATGATCAGAGCTAATCTTCTCTTTATGCTTTGAAATGTTGATTATCCAAAAAGCATCATGAGTATGAAACAAGCACTATTCAAGTGATAATTTCAGGACAAACAAGTGTCAAGGCAAGTCAAAAATAGGATGCCAGTATGAATACTAGAAGGGAAATGCTAAAGTTGGGATACATGTAAAAATGTATTGAAATATGTAAAAAATGTATAAAAATATTTAAAAATATATAAAACATGTAAGATGTGTATTACCATTCTATTTTTTATTTTATTTTATTTTTTGCATTATTTGATCCATAACCAACACCCCATTGGCTGTGGCTAGCAGAGTCCATTCTAGAAATGGATTTAAGAGTGGAAAGATGAAAGAACAGTTAAGGAGATGTTTTTGGCCTGGGGTTGGACCATTCCAATCAAGGGCAATAAGATTGAACTTCAATATACTGGGAGAGGAAATGCAATGCTAAAGTGAAATGTTGATTCAATCATTCAACAGAAAAAGAAAAAGCCGTAGTTGAAGGCCTCATACTGCTTTCAAAATTCTATTCTCTCTTATTTTCTACTAAAGCTTTTATGAAAGATAAAATAGTTTAAGAAACAGGGTAGAACAAATCGCTACTGAATCGAGCTCTCCGACAAAAAAAAATAAATATTGAAATAGAGAAAATGACATATATATAAACCACTAACAAGAACTAAAAAACAGAGACAAATCTAAAAGATTGATCATATTGAAGATCTACGTGCACATCAAACTTCAACAACAACAAATCACAAACAAATCGTCAAGATAGATAGATCATATTCAACTTTCATTGCAAAAATAGAATCAAAAACCACAATTCATAGCTTTCATACGCCAAATCAGATCAGTTTTATTAAAGCTAAACCAATACAAACAGAGAAACAGAGAAATACAACAAATAAAATCAAAATTATTGTCTCTGGTTGTTGGTTGGACAACTGGAAGTCAGTGAGCAGTGAATAACGAAAATTGACTGCATCGCATGTTGAAAGAATACCACAATCTGTAAAGTGAATGCATGAGAGAACTTGACAATAAGAACAAGTCATTATGCACTGAAGTAATACAACTTTTCATACCAAATTAGTTCGAATGAGAAATAATATGACATTTCTTCCTATATTTAACAATTAAAAATAATAAATAAATGAATAAAGGAGAGAAAAACAAAGTCTTGATCTTCTCCTGACTAAAGGAAAATACTCAGTGTGAAGTAATATTTGGAAGTGTATAAAGATACAGTGACCATTCTAGAGAATGAATCATGAGAGACTCCTACAGACCAAACTCATAATGATGCCACCCTACTGATTAGTGAGTGGCATTGTGTTACCAGAGCAGCACTCTTTCATTAACTTTCAAATGTGAAAGAAGTTTAAAAACCGGAAAGGTAAATGCAAGGCTGTAGTTCAACTAGTTATCTAACCATGAATTTACCAATTCAAAGGCACATGCAGATCTTGCACTGATTGACCAGCACAATTCTTATGATACCTGAATGTGCATGCATTACATAAAGGAACAACATTACAGCACGTGTAGGAACAATCAGCAGTTTGGAAATAGAAGGGCGGCCTTACCTTATAGGAAATTTCTGAGTCAAAAAGAGTCTTCAGAATGGATAGGAGGACCACAAGCCACGAACCACAGGGCACTATACAGAAAATTCAATCAGAATTCGCATATGAAATCGAAATCCATGAAAGTCACCAAATTAGAGTCTCCGTCACATTACCTTTAACGTATCTCTGAACTAATTGAGCTGGAAGCTTATATTCTTCATTGGAAGAACTTATTAGCTTTCCTGAGTACTTTAATTCATTATCCACATCAGATCCTAAAGATTCCAAATGTTCAAGAGATGGACTAGTTTGCAACTTACTATCATCGAGACCAATCATAATTGGATTCTCTAAACTCATTTTAGCAAGATTATTTACTTTTTCATTTAAGGTAGTTGACAAAAGCAAATTCTGTCTCTGAAATTCAGAAATCCTTGAAATGGCATTCCCCTCGCTAAGAGACTTCTGTTTCCGGGAACCCAAGAGATCAAGTATCTCCTATATGTCTTTACCAAATCCTAATTCAAGAATCCTGTTAAGGTGCACAACAAAGCCACTGATAAATGAAAGAACTCAGAAAGAAGAAGAAACAAGAAACAATTGCAACTTTAGATTGTAGATATTACCTATCACAAAAGATGAATATAAGAATTCTCTGTTCAAACCCAAAAGTAGAAAGTAAGATAAATCCACAAGTCACAAACTTATGAGACTACATGATCAAAGAAACATGTTAACACTGACTGTTTCTCAGTTTCAAATAATAGAACTTCTGATGCCTAAACTACACAGAAATTTTCAACTCCAAATTATTTTGGTCGGCAAAAATGGTCGGCAAATATATAAATTCTTGTAGTGATAATATAGTTATGAAAACAATTAATTGTATGGCATTTTAAACTAATTAAAGAAAGGAGATTAAAATTGAAGACATACCATTCACATAGGGAAAAGAAAATGGGTCGTCCAGTTTTAAGGAGAGCTTTACTCATTGTCGAATATCTACAACCAAGGATGTAATCATGTATTTGTTATCAGTCCCTACATTAATTCTTCTACCAAAAATAAATAAATAATACTAATAATAATAAAAACAAAAACAAAAATTTAAATTTGTTTTTCAATATTAATCTAACATGAACTAGTTTCATAATACATAAAACTGATTGACAATAACAAATGATTGAATAATTTATCAACCCTATAATTAAATTTTATCTAAATACTGCGTTGTGTTTTTCAATAGTCAAAAGAAAAGGTAATAAGAAGTTTTGTATTCGTTTTACCTTTCTTGTGGAGTCAATCCATTATTGTGGCAATTGTCATACTTCAAATAATCAATTCCCTTAAAAAGACGACGGGCAAAAAAAATCATAGTCAAGTCAAGCTTGTGACTCCAGTGGAGTAAATTTAATATCAAAGGAACAATAAAATAGAAACAAATACAATCCCAAGTTTATAGTTTTTATTCTTCCCACCTCCAACATCTTATTAATCTTACATGCAAGCATGGACGCACACATGGCATAGATAACTAATACAATTTTAATTTAGTTTATTATGCAATCATTTGATGAATAAAATATAATGAAAATGCATAATCGATCAATTAATTAAGACATACATACGTACCCATGAAGCAAAGGTGTTGGCATCATGTTCCTCGTAGCCAAGTGATCCAGGCATCCTTTTGTCACAAGTCAATGTTTTGAAAACAATAATACATAAATGGAACAATTTACAAGCTAGGGAATCCTTTTATTTGCATCAATAATACTCTTTCTTTTTGCTGATCAAAAAAAGAGAGAAGACATTGATAACATATGTTGGATTACAGAATTAGGTATGGTGAGTGAGGTTTTAGGACAATAAATAATCAGCTCTCATAAATTTTACAAATTACTGACATATGTTATCTTTGATGATCTATAATTTGTCAAATTCGAACTGTCAGTTAACTCTGTTACCCAGCATCAGCGTAAATCCCAATCTTGAGCCCTTTGCTGTGGACATAATCTGCTAGTCTTCACAGTTTAAACATATAAACATGAACAGATAATCAGACAATCAAACAGATAGAATGCAATTAACTAACATATACTCAGTCAATTCAGTTTCAATTTCAGTCAGTTAGTTCAGTATTTCATTCAGTTCGATTATCAGTCAGTTATCAGTTCCGTTTAGCAGTAATCGGTGATTATCGGTAATCGATCAGTCCTTAATCAGTAAACAGTATGAGGGTTGTTACAGCGACCCAACATTGATATATGTATTATAGATGTATACATTTCAATCTTAAAAATTATAAGAAAATACAAATGGTAGGAAAACAACTACGTTGCAAAGTCCCATTATTTGATTTCACACACACACAAAAAACACACACACACACACACACACACACAGAGAAAATTACGACAAAAACAATGAAAAAAAAAACCATAAAGGCTCTAAGCTTCTTGTTTAATCTGAACTAGAGAAAATGGGGCAGAAAACAGAAACGAAGCATATCCTCTTACTTAAACTAGGTTCAACCAATCCCATGTAGATTTCAAAAGCGTTACTTGTAACTGTGTTTCCAAGCATATCCTCTTACTTAAGCATACACTTAATACAGATTGGGAAAGTCGACATCATTCATGTTAACAGTTCATTTTCATCAGTTTCTACCTACTCACCTGATCCCGTCTAGGTCTTTGTAACAAGTTTCTAGTTCAACCGATCAATATGGACAGAAACACAGCCAACATGTTTTAGTTTAAGAAAATGTTTGAACCATAAGATAATTAACCACTAAGGAAGAACATACAGGCCAAATAAGAGTATTATACCTTCAAAGATAGCAGAAGAGTAATTGTTTCCAAGCTGTGCTGGCCCTGATCAACATAGTCTCCTAAGAAGAGATAATCGATATATCTGATAGTCATACATGAAATTAGCATCATGATAAAAGGGTGGGAAAAAAATTGCTAGTAATTACATAATCTCACTGAAGGACCCAGAAAATGCTTTAAAAAGGCCAAACAGAAGTAATCACTTTCATTAAAGAGAAAAACATAATACACAGATAGTAGACCTGCAAGAGCAATAGAAAAATGTAGTTCCATGGGAATGCCCATGGAAACATGACAATAAACAACAATTATTTCTAGCATTTTATGCATAATAAAAAGACCCTGCATCTAGCCAAAATCATATGTTGCCTCATATTGTTGCACCTTGGACTCAATTCACAGTACCCAGTACAAAACAGAGTCTGAAAAGTATCGTAGATTTTCAAAATTCAAATCAAGCTTCACAAGAAACAATATTCAAATCAAAGAAACCACCATTAGGCCACCTGATCAAGCTCCTTGATGAAGAAATATTCGAATCAAAGAAGCCACCATCAGTCCACCACCCTCAGGTGGTTCCGGTCTATACTTTTGACTATTGCTTTGTTTCAATGAATGCTTTTTACATATTCAATCCTATTTAACTTTTGATTGTTTGCATCACATCTCAAGTCTAACCAAACACCAGGCCGTGGCAATGCCATACTGATTCTTACACCAATAACTTAAAAAATGTATCCACGCAATATGTGATCAAGGCACAGATTTGTCAAAATTTCAATATAAAAACAAAAACACACAAAACAAGTTACAGAGGCTAATGTTTGCCTCCGAAACATCAGAAGAAGTTGGGGCCAATGATGAACTCTTTGTTAAAGGATGGAAACAATATTGGAATAAAATGTCAAAAAATGAAACATAATCTACGAACAAAAACACTTACGCTATGTCCCCAGCAGTTGAAGGTGAGCCATACTCATCAAATAGTCGCATAAGATCCCCAAATTGCCCATGCAAATCACCAAATATCTTGATAGGAGCCCTAAGTTGTAGAACACGAATCGAGTGAGTAAAGCTTCTTTCCCTCAGCCAGATCCCACAACAAAATAACCCCATCTTTCCCACCACTCGCACACAGCGACCCATCGGGCGACACGGCCACCGTATTCACATACCCAGAATGCCCAGCAAGCGAAGCCCTAATCTTGCAATTGGTCAAATTCCAAATCTTCACAGTCCGATCCCAAGACGAAGACACAATCGTAGGCTGAGGATTATTAGGGCTAAATCGAACACAACTGACCCAATCGGGTTTCAATCACCATCTTGAATCGTGTACTTACACTCACCCAAAGTGTTCCACAGCTTGATCGAGCGGTCTCGGGAAGCAGAGACGATTTGGCGATTATCGAAGGAGAAAGCGATGGAGAGGACATCTTTGGAGTGGCCGACAAAGCGGCGAGCAGTGATGCCAGTGGAGAGGTCCTAGAGGCGGAGAATGGGCACCGATTAAGAGGAAGAACACAGAGAGGGAGAGGGCGGATCGAGAAACAAAGAGAAAGGGCACCGATTTGATTTTTTTTTTTTTTTTTTTTTTTACAAAACGACGTCGTTTTGAAATTAGCGACCAAATTTATTTGTTGCCAAAAAATTTCAATTCCCGCCCCACTAAAAATCAAATTTCCCTCCCAAACTTTTGGCGACCAAAAGACCATACTAGTCGCAAAAAAGGTACCTTCACCGACAAACTTTTTTTGTCGCCAAATCTCAATCAACGGCGACTAAAATATTAGTCGCTAAAAGTACTAATTTGGCGACTAATTTTTTTGGTCGCTGAAAATAAGTTTTGTGTGACCAAATTTTTGGTCGCAAAAAAAATGTGACCTTCTGCAACCAAATTTGTAGTTGGTCGGCAAAAGTATACCCCTTTCTGCGACCAACTCATTTTTTGGTCGCCAAAATATAACCTTCTGCGACCAATAATATTTGGTCGCCAAAAATAATGATCATTCGCGACTAATTAATATTTGGTCTCCAAATGTCATTTTTTTGCGACCAAAATTTTTTTGGTCGGCAAAAGTGGTCGGCCAATGTGTAAATTCTTGTATTGTCTCCTTTTATAAGGAAGAGTCTCATTGGAAGTTGGAGAAGATTATGAAAGTCTATTCCTATTTATAGGAATATATTTTTCAAAGAGAACCTACAAAATTCTATGTGGGATTCAATCAAATTATTTGAAACATATTGATTGGAGGGAGAGTTGAAAATTTCATTTCCTTCCAAAATTAAACCTAACATTCAATCAATTTGTTTGGAGGGAATGTTTAAAAAATTTAATTTCTTTAAAACAAATGACTTTTTTTTATCAATTATGACTTTATTAAATATTATTAATAAATTTTATACAACAATTTTTATTTTTATTTGAGTATTTATATATATATTTTTATTTATAATTTATAATTATATAATATTAATTATGACGTCACGGTTTGACCGTTTTGAACCGACGGTTGAACCGGTGATCCGTCCACCCAGTCCCTTTTCCGGTTCGTTCACCGGTCCGATTTTCAAAACATTGCTATACATTTAACAATTTGAAATGTAATAAGTTCCGAATTTAAAATATGTTATCATAATAATTAAAAGGTCAATAATTATAATTAAAGTAAATTGACCAATGATTTTATGAATTTTTATATTTTATTAATTTAAATTTTTAAAAAAAAATTAGATTAGAAGTTTTAAGTTCATTGACTCAACTATATTTTTACCTATATAATAGTATATAGATAAAAGTATAAATATAGATATAGATTTTATTATATATAGATAGAAGTATAAATATAGATATAGATTTTATACCATAACCATTGAAATTAAAATAGAAATAATGTCATTGTATGTTTTGAAATAACAAAATTTAAGAAAATAGTATTGGAAATGATTAAAAGGATGTAAAAATTAACTTAATTTAGGTAAATTAAATTTTGGATTAATCACAAAATGACATATGTATTTTAAGTAAAATAAAATTTAAAAAATATAAGAAAATTAGATTGAGATTTTCAGTCTCAAATGACCACAACTTTTATTGAATAACTAGATCATCTAAAAAATCATATTTAAATCATAACCGTGTTTATTATTATCAAATTGATTTAATTTTTTTTAATAAATGTTCTAGGCATGAAAACAGCCAATTCATTTTCACTTCGTGGAAGGTGTGAAATATGGGGCAAACTAATGGCAATGGAGTCAAAAGTCAGTGAAATGACTTGTGCGAATCGCGACATGCCCATATGCTTTTCCATTTCCAACATATCCAGGCCGGCTCAATCACATGTGTGACTTAAAATCAACATATTATAGAAGGGAAAAAAATTTTAAGTGAGAAGCATGACATCGGGATAAGAAGGAAAAAGTGAATTGTTTTACTCATATAAAGTCAATCTTATACTCTCATTTAATATTATAGTGTTATACATATTTAAATTTAATATAATTTAAATTTTAAAATAAAATTTAAAAGTTTTAATTAATTAACTTTTGTGTAAGTTGGTTGGTCTTTTGTCCTAGCCTATTACGTTGAATCATTTTTTATTTCACTAATTCGTTGGTTTAAGCGCGATTTTAACAGTTTTATCAAAATATATTGATTAGATTTGTTTGATTCGAAATAAACCAAAAATCGATCTGATTAAAGATTGAACGACTGAGATTGCTTGATTAAAAATAAACTTCTCATCTAAACAATTGTTTAACTTTTATTTTATAATCTCACATCAGAAAAAGAAGAAAAAAATAAATTGTTTTACTTACATAAAGTGAACCTTAAGGCCTCGTTTGGCAACATCACTTTTTACCTGAAAAGCCAGAAAGTCACTAAAAAAATCGAAAAGCTAACAACCTATATAAAAAGTCAAAGATTATATTGTGATGATCGATTTTACTTTACGTCCCTTCGTTTTCATTTTTATCGGGATTGGTGTGTCCGGACTCATTTCTTTAATTCTCATACTTGTTTATTTTGAGTTAGCTTTCTTTTGATCCGGAGGGTTCCCTCGATTGGATTATTGTTTTAGTTTTATTCGGTGTTGAATTTTGTCAGGTTCGGAGG